TCATTTCTGTGGTCATCTGTGCACTTGGCTCACATTTAGCAGAGTGTCACCTTTAGCCAAGCATCTCTGGCTTCTCCCATTCTTAAAACTAATTGTGTAAGCCACCTTTAAGATTTAATGTGGCTTAGGACAGGCAAAGGAAACACTTGTTCCCAATGGGGACCAAACACAGACATCTCAGCTGCTTGTGTTCTTTGCAGGATACTGGTGAGCTTTTACTCTAGATACTTATAATGGGATTCAGGATGAAGACAGTTAATATTATCTCATATGCCTAAAACACTGGTCTGTTAACCCAAATGTATGATGCTTTAAAACCACAATATTAATCCAAAAAAATGACTAAATCTAGAGGGCAGTTATGATCTTTTATTTGTAAATCTTAGAAGATTGAGAGTTGCTTTTTTTTTTTTTTTTTTTTTACTTTATGTGTATGAGTGTTTTCCTAGATGTATGTATGTACACTGCCTGGTACCTATGGAGATCAGAAGAGGGTGTCAATCCCCAATCCACCATGTGAGCGCTGGAAACCAAACTTGGGTCCCCTGGAAGAGCAGCCAGTGTTCTTTACTGCTAAGCCATCTCTACAGCCTCCTTATTTCTATATTTAAAAGGCAATCATCTAGCAATTCACTTTAGGGCTTTTTGCTATTGAAGTATGCAAATAAGTGTAAAAAGACAGGTAAGAATATTCTATCAGTATAAATGTCAGGGATGCATAGGCTATAAACTTGAACCTAGAACAAATGTGTTCATCTTTAATAAATTATTGGGCACATCAGAATTTAAACAACTGTCCTAGCTTGCTTGCTCTTTTTGTTTTGTTTTTTGAGACAGGGTTTCTGTGTGTAGCTTTGGCTGTCCTGGAACTCATTCTGTAGACCAGGCTGGTCTCGAACTTATAGAGAGCCTCCTACCTCTGCCTCCCGAGTGCTGAGATTAAAGGCATGTGCCACCATCAACCAGCCCTGGCTTTCTTTATATTGTGGTAATAAACCAAAAAGCACAAAGAGGAAAAAGCATATCTGGCTTATACATCCTGATCACAGTGTATCAGGAAAGGAATTCAGGACAGGAACTCAAGGCAGGAACCTAGAGGCAAGTACTTCAGAGGCCATGGAGGAACACTGTTTACTGTCTTGCTCCCAATGGCTTGCTCAGCTGTTGGGGAGCCCTGCTGGACTAAGGTTGCAGTCCACCATGTCTGGACAGTTCTTTCAGAGCTCAATGCAAGATGGAGGACACCTTTCCCCCCAGCATGGGATTACTACTCACTGCCTGACCTTATTTGGAGACTGTCCCTGAGCCTGGATGCTTGACTTATCTTAGTCAAAACCTCTGACATAGTTCCCTGCAAATGCTTTCCCCATCTGCTGCCACATAGGTAATTAGGTGCTGTGCTATAGCTATACAATAGGGTCATGCTGACACATATAACTGGACGCTGTACTTCAGCCTTGTCACAGCAGAACGCCACCAAATACAAAGTAGGTGACACCCCAGCCACTATCCCCTCACTCTAGAATAAAAGTTGAGCTGTTTCACTGAAGTTGCCTCTTGAAGAGCTGTTTCTGCTGTGTTCACAGGCCACACAAAGCCCTCCTCGTGGCCTGGTGCCACCAACAGACCACAAGAAGAGGAAGACCCCACACTCAGCTTGCTTTTTTTATACAACTCAGAACCACTTGTGGGGGCTGGAGGGCACCATTCACAGTGGATTAGACCCCCCCCCACACACACACACATCAATCAGTAATCAAGACTTTCTCTATTGGTTCTTTCTTCCCAAAAGACTTTGACTTGTGTCAAGTTGACAAAAACAAAACTCTACCCAGCACAATTACTGATTTAAGTGCACTCTTGGCTTTCTATTTTAGGCCCGTCACCCTACTATCGATACACATATCACTCAGTCTGCCAACAAAAGAAATATTTAACAGGAAAGTCTTCAGAGATCACTCACCCAACACAGGTCTCCAACCTCCACATCTGCTTTCAAGTCCAGGTCTTACTCTGTAGCCTAGGCTTGTCTAACTCCACCAAGCTGACCTAGAACTCCCAGCAATAGTCCTGCTGCCCTAGCCACTGGAGGGCAACATTGTAAGTGTCCTGTGTCACACCCCCCCCCTTCAGGTTTTTCACTGGGAAAACAGACCCAGGGCAGTGAAGAGCCTGACCTTCAATGGCACAAATACACAGCAGAACTAGGCTAGACCTGGAGCGACTCTAAGCTTCTTTCCCCAAGACTACTCTCGGGGCACAAATCTGCCATCTACTTCACACAGTACCTTTACCTGACCCGAAGGCTTCAGATAACTGATAACTGATCATACGTGATATCTGATTGCCATTCTGTGTCCATTTTTTGGAGACACAGACTCTCTAGCTTGCCTATGACTCTCCCTTCTTCAGCCTCCTAAGCTGAGGATATAGGTGCAAGATGCCACACCCAGGTGTTTATTTAGTTACTATTGGGAAAGCTTTCCTTGGATTTATTACATAATTTCTAGGTCCAACAACTACATATGCCAGGACAGTTGCACAGAAAGATACAAGATTAGAGGCAGAACTGACCCAGAGCAGAGGTCGTGGAGAGAAACAATGTTTGCTGGCTTGCTCCCCATGTAAGAGCAGAAACATACACCAGAGGGAGACAGCTCACAATACTTTATCAGCCTAATAGGCTCAAGGGCAGAAAGGAAATTCTCATTTCTGAATTGGTAGAGCACCGACAGTCTAGCAATTGGTGTTGCCTGAAGAATGCCAATGTCAATTTACTTGTGTATTTAATTGGGATAGTAACACAATTAAAATTCTTGACCCGTAACACCTGGACATCTTTGACTGAGCATGGGAGTTACCATTCACATATTTCACGTATTTAGAAAGTCGAACAAATGGAAAAATAAATTTATCACGGACGACCCTAGAATGTTGGATACTAATGACTGAAAACTGAACAGTGTTCTACTTTCCTGGATAGATGTCTTCTGGGTTGCAAAGGTATTCTCAAAAACCAGGTATTAAAACTTAAGAAAAGACTGATGGTTGGAAACACTGGAGAAGTAGGGTAGGGGAAGAGCGAGTATCAGCTCAGCCTGGGCTACATGGAAAGACTCTGTCTAAACAAATAAAGCCCTGTCGAAGGGCTGGAGAGAAGGCTCAGTGGTTAAGAGCATTTGTTCTTCCTGAGGACCTGGGTTCAATTCCCAACACCCGTATGACAGCTCGAAACCACTTCTAACTCCAGTTCTGGGGGATCCAACACCCCTGTTCTAACATCCATGGGTACCAGGCACATATGTGCACAGACATACATGCCAGCAAAATACTCGTGCACATAAAATAAAATTTAAAAATCCCTGTCTCAATAAATAAACACATTTGTTATGGATCTCTAAAATACAAGCTTCTCCGTGTTCTGTACATGAACACAGTAGAAATGCAAAGGAAACTAACTTGGTTCACTGACCAGGAAAATGCAACTCTCAACAGAAAACAAATCCAGCAACTCTCAACAGAAAACAAATCCAGCCCGTATAGACCTTCTAAAGCAGTTAACTTCTAAGTGGTAAAGATGAAAGAAAAGATTTTCTTTGTGAGACAAGGTTTTGCTGTTGAATCCAGGTTGACCTCAACCTCCCAATCCCCCGCCTCAGTAGGAGTGCCGGACTTAAGGATGTGCACACTGTGTCCAGCATGGATGTCTCTAAAATCTCTTTCTTCGCTTCAACACTCTAAAACAGTGGTTCTCAATGTGTAGTTCACAGCCCCTTTGGAGGTAGAATGACAGTTTCACAGGGGTGGCCTAAGACCATTGGAAAACACAGATATTTACATTACGATTCATAACAGTAGCAAAATTACAGTTAGGAAGTAGCAACAAAAATAATTTTATGGTTGGGGTCACCACTGAAGGGCCTTAGCAGGCCCAGGCATGGCACACATGGCTCTGGTAGGCCTTGCCACCCCCCATTCCCTCTGCCTTGCAAAACTGTTTGATATTCCTAAAGATGACCACCAAGGCCTATTCCCTTAGTTTGCCGCTTCTTCCCCAAGAATGACTACCAAAGTCCACCTATCAAAGTATTGAAGTGCAGCAATCAAAAGCCCCCTTTTGGCTACCCAACTAACATGCCCAATCAAAACAAACCAACTCATCCTAACACAGGGTTTCCCTGTTCCCTCATAAACTGTCATTTGCCTATGGGCCATGTCTGTCTCCTCTCTATCCAGAGGCAGTCCTTTGTCCCTTGGGGCAAGTATCTCTTTTCCCTTGCTCCTTTTCTCTTTTCTCCTGTCTTTTTCTCTTATTTCCTGCCACTTGCCCCTGTGGGGAAAATAAATCTCCTTTGTCCTGAGAACTTGGTCTTGGTGGCTTAAGCTGACACCATCCTTTCAACCATAACATGAGGAACTGTGTCAAATGGCTGTAGCATCAGGACGGCTGAGAACCACTGTTCTAAGAAAACCAGCCTTGAGCCCAGTACTGAACCAAAAGATAAAACACACTCACCAAACTATTTTTTTATTGTCGAAATGACACATTTGCACAACTCTACCAATCCCCAAAACTTCAGAACAAGCCAGGCTTGTTATTTTGGGGTCCAATTAAAAGTTTCTATTGGAGCTGGAGAGATGGCTCAGCGGTTAAGAGCGCCGACTGCTCTTCCAGAGGTCCTGAGTTCAATTCCCAGCAACCACATGGTGGCTCACAACCATCCATTATGAGATCTGGTGCCCTCTTCTGGTGTGCAGATATACATGGAAGCAGAATGTTGTGTAATAAATAAATAAATAGATAGATAGATAGATAGATAGATAAATAAATCTTAAAAAAAAGAAAAAAGTTTCTATTGACAAGTGCTACAAAGCACAGACGAGCTCCACACAGGTGACACATCATACAGCATACAGTTTGGCATGAACATCACACCATTTAGCTCTGACTGTAGCAGGACTGCGGCATAAGGTCTGATTGCAAGGGCCAGAGTGCTTACCTCAAATTGTGGGTAGGGAGGAGTCATAGTTGAAGGTGGCCCTGAGGTAGGAGGTGGCATCCCTGAAGTGGGTGGGAACAGACCCAAGGCATTCAGATTCAATCCAGGGATCAAATGTGCTTGAAGCTGCAATGGTAAAAAGGTCCCTTAATTTTCAATCAGAAGTATGGAGGGAGTGAGCATTTATAAGTGACAGTATTCATATTGTGACCGCTTGTCTAATAAAGAAAAAACACCACACTAAGACTCCTTTTTGAACACAGCAGGCGTTCCCACAGAACTACAGGTGCTGTTCACACCTCTCAGCATCGTTATATTGAGGATTTGTCTGCCCTGCCTTGATCCTCAAAGGGCAGCAGCTCAGAGCACTTGAGACAGAAAGGCGCTCTGCATTCTGTGGGCCTTCCATGGCCACACCCTGGAGGTCTTACATCAGCTGAAATGTGAGTGAGTGAGGTGTGCTTTCTGGAGTCACAGGTACACAGAACAAGCCTCGTAAAGATCTTCATGCCTCACCCTCTAGTCTAATCCTTCAAAACTCAGGTCTCCTCTTCTTCACACTGCAAGCACACAACTAAGCACACCTTTGGGGTGGATACAGGAGCCATAAAGGGAACACTGTTCCAGTTTAATCCACCCCTCCCCTTTAACATATGTGTGTGGTGTTTTGTTTGCTTGTATATCTGTGCACCGTGTGCATGCAGTGCTCACAGAGGCCAGAAGAGGGCGTGAGATCCTCTGGAGTTGGAATTAAGGATGTTTGTGAGCTGCCCTGTGGGTGCCTGGAATCAAACCCTGATTCCCTTGGAAGAGCAGCTAAATGCTCCTAAGCACTGAGCCATCTCTCCAGCCCTAATTTTATAAGAGTTGAAAAAGGTGGAGAGTAGGACTGAACTGGAGTGTATCTATACCGTTAACAAGGCCTATGGGGGTAGATTAATTCCCAGTCAGCTATGAAACACTTAGATAAGCAGCAATCATGTAAAGATGGCAGGCTACCATGTGGGATAAAGTGACAGCATTCTAGGTTCTTCACAGTCCTTTCCCAGGTTACTGTTTCATAGGACAGGCTCAAATGAAGTCTGCTAAATCATCTCCTCATATTTAAGGAGCACCTTTTTAGAAGACAGACTTTCGAAGTGTTCCGTTGTCAGCACCATTCCACCCATTAAACAGTGGCAGGAATTTGCTTTTGTAGCCTTCACTACATTTGCCACACGAAAATTTCAATTTCCCAGGTTATATGGCCAGCACAGTAAGATTCAAACCTGGGTTTCTGCTTTGTTGAACTATTCTGCAGAGTAGGAGCTGAGGCACGCTAGGCAAGCACTCCAGCACAGACACTACTCTCATCGTCCTGAACCTGGATTATCATGTTTAAGACATGGTCCTTCTAAATCACTCAGGGTGGCCTTGAACTTGCAATCCACCCACCCCAGCCTCCCAAGTTTCTGGGCTTGCTTCACATCGCCTGGCTCTTAAGCCTGTTTTTCTAATGGTAACTTTTCCATGCACGACACTGTAACCCTAAGAAGCATGTAGAACAGGAGACAGCAGCTCTCTGATCTGGAGAAGAAAGCTGCACGTGGCAGGAAATCTAACTAACTCATCTCCCTCCAGTCCTCACATCCTTCCTGCACCAGGGCCTCAAATTAACACAGGGAAGGAGGTAATAAATAACCTTTGGGAGGCATGTACTAATCTCATTCCTCCTGCATCAAGAAGCCAAAGGCTCAAAAGCTATCTAATTTGTCAGAAATCAGAGACAGCTAAGCCCAATGCCCAGGCTTCTGTGTTACCCAGGGTATGTGGGATGGTGCAGACAACTCATTCAAATCACTTCCCACGATAAAGTGAAAGAGCAGCGCAGCAAAAGCCATCTTTTACGTCTCCATCATCAGTACTAACATTCATGGATGCGATGTCATTTTCATAGGACTCCCTGATTTTCTTCATTATCTCCTCCTCAGCCCTGGCACACGTCTCAACATTGCCTTTTACTGTAATGGTGCGCTCCGGGTTGTACAGCGTCAGCTCCTGCAACCTGTGGCGGGAAGAGGAGAAGCGACAAGGACGACAGGAGGAAGGTGGGTGAGTATCATTCAGCCCCAAATGGTACCTGAAACCAGACGACAGAGCCTGTATCTTGAGAATGTGACGGATCAAACCCCAAAGACCCAAGTCCAAGATCTGTAACAACTTCCTTCCCACTCTCTCAATGACAATGACTGGGCACACGGTTGCACTACACTCGTGTTTTAAAACACAGCTTACTCTTTTTTTTTTTTTTTAAAGGTTTTTTGTTTTTATTTAATGTTCATTATCGTGAAGGAATCAGATCCCCTGGAACTGGAGTCACAGACAGTCTCCGAGCTGCCATGTGGGTGCTGGGAATTGAACCTGGGCCCTCTAAAAGATAGGCCAGTGCTCTTAACCACCGAGCCACCTCTCCAGCCCCGTGACTTATTTCTTGACCACTTCATCTCACCCTCTAACATCGAACTGAGGAGAGTGGTCAGAAGGATGTATGATGCTCAGGATGCTCCTTGTCTGGACTGGCCAATTCTAAGCAGAACCAGCTATCTTGTGCACTTGCATTTTCTGCAGTAAGCCAGAGAAATACTTCCCAAAAGCAAATCAGCATTTGTGTGATGGAACTTAGTTTTCTACAGTATTTTCAGAATTTAGAATTTAGAATAAAGAGGCCTGAAGGAACATAAATGAAGCCATCTTGACTATTTTTCTTAATTTTTAATAAATGAATTATTTAATTAACTATTTTTTTGTTTTTTCAAGACAGGGTTTTTCTGTGTAGCCCTGGCTGCCCTGGAACTCACCCTGTAGACCAGGCTGGCCTCAAACTCACAGAGATCTGCCTGCCTCTGCCTCCCAAGTGCTGGGATTAAAGGCATGCACCATCGCCAGGTCAACTAAATTTTTTAAATGGTTCACGTTGACTCTATTTATACCCTAAACAGACAACAACATTAGGAAACTCTTTGCTTAGCCCAGGTCCTGCTGAAGCTTCAAAGCCATGAGATATTCCATCTGGGTGCACCTAAGTCTACAGTCCTCAGCAGCCTTAGAGAAAAACCAACATTTACCACAGGACGAGGGCTATGTACCTAGACTCATAGGACAGAGGACAGCAACATGACTGTCCTTTATGTTCTCAGAGTTCATTTTCACTGCTAGGAACATGACGGGGACTAACCTTGAACCAGATGGATGGGATATTATTCCTTTCCCTCATATGTGTATAAAATGTAAATCATATAATGAAGGAATGAGCTATAATGGAGTCTAAATTTCCTTAGACGATGTAAGCATTTATTTAAGCATAAGCACACTGAACCCTTACTCTCAAGCTGCCCCTATCGAGTATTTTGTATTGTATTTTTATCATTCATTTTCAGTTCATCAGCTATTTCTGGAGTCCTGTGATAGAAACCAAGGATCGTCACCCCAGAAAAAGAAAACCTTTTCCTTATTATCACAGCAGGTGTGTACCCCAGGTGTGATAGCCCATCTCTAAAATTATGCCCCTTGCCAAGAAATCTGCAGTTCCTATATACATTGAACAGGGCTGATTTGTGCAAACCGTACAGGAAACAGCTTGTGTGTGAATTCTGAGATTTCATCATGAAAGACATTACAGCTCCCAGCCCCTCTCTTTCTTAGCTCACTCCCTCTGAGAGAGGGCAGAGCTCCATGGTGAGGACCTTCAAGAGCAGCCCTGGGGACAGCCCCCATGCTGCAGTTCTGAGCTGATTGTAGGTCCCCAACCCATACAATAAGTCATGCAATCCATGTTTATTATTAAGCTGTCAAACAGTGGACAAGTTCGTAACACAGCAAAGGAAAATGAACTAGGCTCTACATTCTGACTTGAGAAATAAATGTCAAAGAACACCATGAAGACTTTGGCCAAAAAAATATGAATGTCAGGCTGGAGAGATGGCTCAGAGGTTAAGAGCACTGGCTGCTCTTCCAGAGGTCCTGAGTTCAATTCCCAGCAACCCCATGGTGGCTCACAACCATCCATTATGAGACCTGGTGCCCTCTTCTGGTGTGCAGATAATACATGAAAGCAGAATGTTGTATACAGAATTAATAAATAAAATCTTAAAAAATATATGAATGTCATGCCAAGTGTTAAGCTCTCCATGCCACCTCTTTGAGAACACACACTTCAAGATGGTAGAACAGGGCAGACTGAAGAACAGGCTCTTGGCCTGACAGGATAGACGAGAGAGATGTAAGCAAGGAACCATGCACAAAACATACAGCTTAGAAACAGGATCTGAATGCCCTGTAATTCACAAATAAGATGGCACTTACGGAGATATCGTGATTTTAGTGTCTGTATCTTGCTCAATTTTTTTAAGGTTTCTTCCTTCTTTACCAATAAGACGGCCTACGAAGTTATTGTGAGCTAGTATCTTCAGGGGGACCTCCTCTGTGCTGTAAGTAGAAAATGGTCATCAAGTCAGGGAAAGTAAACTACTCTCGGATAAAAAGACAATGTTCTTTCATTGGACATTTACTCCCTAACGACTGGCTGAGAAATGCTATGCTGCCACCAGTTTAAAGTGAGCTGGCAATGAACCCACACTCCAGCAACTCATGCAGGCCGGTGGGTAAATAATGGCAGACATTTACATTGGACTTCACCCTTTTCTTCACATCAGGGAACATCTACACTCAGTGATGGAGTCTCAGTCAAAGCAGAACACATGCACGGATCAGAGCAGTACCGTCCTAGGACAACCCTGAAAACACATCCGAAGAAAAACAGCACTAGCAGCCCAATAGCTCAGCTTTGGGGAGACTACAGCCGCAGAAAAGAGCTTTCACTCTGTATCCTGTGCGCCTCTGCTTTCTTTCTTTCTCTCTGTTTTTACGTCATATGTGAGTGTACACAGACATGTAGGTACACTCACCCCTGAGTGCACACACGCTGGCCAGAAGCCAATGTGTCACTCTCCATCTGTCCCCTGAGACAGGGCCTCTCCCTGAGTCTGGAGCTCGCTGATTTGCTAGACTGGCTGGCCCACAAACCCCAGGATCGGCTGTCTCTATGTCCTCAGCAATGGAGACACACAGATACCACCAGCACACCAGCTCTGACATGGTCTAGGGACCCAAGTTCAGGTCCTTAAGTTTACACAGCAGGCACTGTACCACTGAGCTACTTCCCAGTGCCCCTTCCAGAATTTCTAAATTACATAGCATGCTTCTCAAATGTCACTGGGGGCTTCATGATACTGGGCTGTCCTTTTATTTTCTCTATACTAAAAAACTATTACACCCATATAAAATACCTATCACAAAACATACATATATCTTTACAAAGTAAATAAAGGCAATGTGGTCCCAGGGCACCTCCTTGAGCCTTGCTCTGGGCTGTATTCAGTGAATCAATTAGCACAGAAGCCAACCTAACTTTCCTTCCTTCCTTCCTTCCTTCCTTCCTTCCTTCCTTCCTTTCTTTCCTTTTCTTTCTTTTTTCTTTTTTTTTTTGAGACAGGGTTTCTCTGTATTGCTTTGGAGCCTGTCCTGGAACTCACCAGGCTGGCCTCGAACTCACAGAGATCCACCTGCCTCTGCCTCCCAAGGGCTGGGGCTAAAGGCGTGCGCCACCACCGTCCGGCTGGGGCTGCCTTCTTCTAACTGCACTTCTCCCCACGATTGCTGCTCGTTCCATTTCCGAGTATGAATGAAAGTGAGTATTTCAGTACAAGCCTTAGTGTTTCACACCACGCCAACAGCAGCAAACACTAGCTCTTCAGGATAGCATTAATCCCCAAGAACATGTCAGAGAATCTACAAGCAAGCAGAGCCCTCTTGGCTAGTTGTCGTTACTCACAGTTTGGTGTCTTGTGCTTCCTTGTGCATAATCTCCAGGATAGACTTACAAGCTGCAGAGGCACCCTCAGGGGTCGAGAGGATTGTAATGGGCTTCTCGGCAGCCCCCGTGTTCTCCTTACGGTGGACATCGATTCTAAGGGCAGCACAAGAGGAAGAGACAGAACAGTCAGTGCATACTCACCACAAGGAGTCCTCGTCACCAACTTCTGGGAGAACGAGGACACTCACTTCATTAAAAGGAACTGGTGCTCAGCTGTGAACACCAGTACACTACAGAAGGGTCTCCATATCTAAACTCACTACAAAGTGGGAAAGGCCCTTGACCTATGGTTCTCCTGCCTGTGCCTTCGGAGTGCTGAGACCACAGACATTCACCTCCATGCCCAGTCATGCAAACCTGGGACGCTTCTTGTTATGGTGGGCAATCCCGACTGTCATCTTGATGAGGTTTAGAATCACCATGGGGCCAAATCTCCAAATGTATCTGAGTCTACAGATTGGGGAAGGCAACTCTTAATGGAGGCAGTGCCATTTGATGGATTTGGGATCCCAGCAAGTAGACATAGGAACTTTCCTCCCTCTCTGCTTCCTGACAAGATGCCTCCTGTTCCAGCCATTGTCACCACTACAATGGGCTGCTTTCCCTAGAATGAAGAGCCACCATAAGCCTTACCTTCCTTTAGTTATTTTGTTGCAGCAACAAGACACACAACTAACAGACTAAACAAGCACTGGGCTACAGCCTCAGCCCACAGACAAATTCCAATCCCAGGAGAGCTCTCATCTCAGCCCAAGCATGGACATCTTTTCATTCTGCCTAAGCTGACTGTGCCTAAGGCTTCCTTTCATATGCTCAGAGCCATCACGTACTGTCAAGAGCCTGAAATACAGAGAACTGTGCATGTCAAGAGAGCCAGATCCCGGATGGCACAGCCAAGCTGGTCCCTACTCAGACCCAGAATGTTTACCAGTCACCCTATGGCACAGTTCACTTATCTGTTTTTGTTACTGAGAAAGTCAACAACAAATGTGCTGGGAATAGAACTAAAGAGGTGGCCAAGCCTTTAATCCCAACACTCAGGAGGCAGAAGCAGGGAAATCTCTGAGCTCAAGGCCAGCCTGGCCTACAGAGTCAGGGCTACACAGAGAAACTCAGTCTCAAAAAACCAAAAGAAACAAAAAATCCCCCAAACAACAACAACAAAAACCAAGTCACCAATAAACTCAACTGATGTTTAAACCAGCTAGTAATTTATACACACACACACCCCAATTAATAAATAATGTTTTTTGTTCTAGCCCTGTAAACATTTTAAGATGCATAAAATTAAATATCAGTGAAGTAAAGGGTAATGAGGCAAACCCACATTTTTGATGGCAAACTGACAGGACCAATTGAAGGTAAAATGCTGACTAAAAAAAAATATTGATGTGGATGATGTTTGTGAGTCCTGCTTAGACTTGCTGCAGTGGTGTACGGAGATCAGAGGCAGTCGTTCCCTCCTCCTATCCCACTCTGTGAGGCAGACCCCTCTTATTTCTGCCAGCTTTGTCCTCCAGGCTGGCTGCCTCCACCTCCCGCCTCCCAGCAGGAGTGCAGGTTACAGACAAGCACCACTTCTTGCATCAGGATCAACTCAGGCTGTCAGGCTCCTCAGGCTAGGGAGCACAGCAAGCACCTGCTGAGCCACCACAAGGCCTGTCACCATCTTTGACCCACAATTCAGTAGGTGGGCTAAGATGGTACTTCTCATCCTCAACACTCAAACATTTTAGGTCAAGGTCAGTCTTTCTGTGGATCCAGAAGCAGCTGTGGTCTCTGCCTATGAGATGACAGCAGCACCCTTCACTGTACTACGACAGTCAAACCATCTCCAGACACTGCCTAATGTTCACTCGGAGAATCGACTCTGGTCAGAAATGACTGGTGTAGCACTATTCCTACTAAGAAAAAAAAAAAAAAAAAAAGACCCTGTAATTATTACAATGCTCCTTAAAATGTTAAGTAACAGCCTGTATGTACCCTGTGGTACTACAGGTGGAGTCTAGGACGATGGGTGCAAGGAGCAAGCACCATTAAGGTAACACAGCAAGTGTCCTTAATCTTAAATGAAAATATGCAATCATACCATGTGTTATTTTTTAAAGTTACAAGTTAAAAGCTGCAAATAAGAAGTCCTATATAAAGATACAACAGCCTAAAACTTTTAACGACTCTGGGTTGGCAAGAATCTAATTCATTCTTTCAAAAATTTGTGCATTTTTATACTTTTAATTAAGCATGAATTAAGTTTGCTGTTGTAAGAACGTTAACGACCTTGAGTGTGTTTTAGGGAAATCTAAACAACTACTGGGTGTTCTTTTCTCATCTCCTAGGAACTCACTGCCAGAACAGCCCTGCAACAAGCCAATAAAACTAAGGCTTGCATCTCGTTTTATTAGAATTTGCCCCAGAATTAAAACCTGTAACTTAAGGTAATGTAGAAACAGTAAGAACTGCGAACATATAATACATGAAAGTGTGTCTAGATAACAGCTTCAATCCCAGGGACCATTTTCCCAACCCATCGTAAAACCCAGTCACCATCAGCCATGTGGTCTCCCCTAACTTGTTCACAGCCCCTCCTTTGGGAAACCCCACCCTTTTACAGGGCTGAGGGCTATGAAACTCTGATTCTAAGAAGGGACTGTTGCTCTGGTGATCAACATCCTCCCCTGGGACTATTCCAGAAACAGAGGTTCTGGTAATGATTAGTTACAAGGGCAAGAATTAATTAAAAGCATGGCAGAGCTCCCCAGCAGAACCATCAGATGTGAGGAACACCCCTCTGCTTTGCCCCCATCTGTCTGCCTTAAGTAAACAGTGCAGCTTCAACCACGCTCCTTTATCTGACAGACCTCATTAGCAGCTTGCAAAAGAACTAAGCTGCTAATGCAAAGAGCAACCACATACCAAGTTCCTGAAGGTAAGGGATGGAAGGAGGCCCAACACTCCACACTTTCAGATGAAAGGCAGGTAAACTGACTCACGTCCCCGCGTCTTAAACTATATGGATTACAACCTCATATGGGCCCCATTACTCAACACGAGGGCTGTGAAAATTTCTGCAATAGTAAAGTTTACTGAACACTGTTAGATTTCAAACTTGGGACAAATGGCTGAGGTGTCTAGTTAACATATCAAAGGGGATGCTGGTTGTTAGGTTCCCACCTGTCACAGGGTACAGCTGGCCTGCCCCACCCCACCCAATCTTTTCCAACCCAGGGTGCTGGGCTGCCTTCCCTATACAATCCAATCATTTTGTTTACCCTCTGTTTGTACCTTTGGGCCTCCTGGCTGCTACAACTGGTTCCCCTCTTCTCTCCTCTCCTCTCCTGGCCCAGCTCAGTCCTGCTCACTCTGAACTCTCCCAGATGTCCCTGTCTCTGGCTATGCTCTCCCATGAATCTACAATGCTCACTACAATATCTATAATCAACCTTCTCCACTGTATCTAGGAGCACTCAGGTTTCCTTCTCTTTTCCTTTTTATTTCTTCTTCTTTTTTTTTTTCTATTTAAACACATGGTGGTCAAAATTTATTTCTAAATATCAAGTGGAATGAATGAATCTGATGTGTTTCAGGAAGCACTCAGACATGGATCATGTGATTTCACCGCAGCCTTGGTTCTGAACAAACAACATGGGAACTTTGCATTGTACCACATGAGCCCTTACACTACAGAACACTGCCTTGCCATCTCACATTCAAGATTATGTGAAGAGCAGTGTTTTAACTGTACGCCCAAAGCTTTCTGTTCTTAGTGAAACAAGATAGAGAACAACAGACCTAACATTTTCCCACCATCATTCCTCAACACACATCACACTGGCATCTCTGAATGGAAGGAACTGTGCAGGAATATTTGATTTTAGAAATTGGTGTTTGAGTTGCTGATTTGAGTTTCATTTTTAAAAAGTTAATCATTAAATAATTTTGGCTTAGGATTCAGACAGAATTTCCAACAACGTACAGCAGGGCCTAAACATATTCGTACTGTTTTGTTCTACATATTTACGTGAAGCAGCAGTGCGTGCAACACCATGCAAAGAACCAAAGCATTGATCCACTCTGCGCAACCTGAAGATGCTCCGTGTCCCCAGGTGTCAGCTACTTAGCCAAGATTTAATTCTTTATATGGCAACAAAGAAGGCACCTATCTCATTACTACCAAATCAGTTTTCAACTTTAATCAACTGCAAAATTACATGAATACCAAGAATTATTTTAAAAGATTTTTTAGATTATGCTTGACTTGAACCTTACAGAGCATTTTCTGTCACGTGTAAAATTTCTCAGGTAAAAAGGGGTCACAAGTAAAATTTAAGAAACATCAACATAGATAATGGTTCAATTGTTCTCCCCACCCACTAATTATGTATTTGGAATCATTAATGTTGCACACAGGCACCCAGCACTCAGTGTCTCTTGCTTCAAAGCAGGTGTGAGGGGCTGGAGAGATGGCTCAGCCGTTAAAGGCTAGGCTCACAACCAAAGCAGGTGTGAGCAGGGTAGGGTGTCCCAGCAGGGCTGGATGAACTTACAACCGTCACTACCATACAATTCTTTTAGGTTCTGAATGAAACGAAGTCTCCCAGTTAACTGCAGGCAAGGTGCATCAAAGAGCATGGATGCCTCAGAGGCCACGGAACACATCTAGCCACAAAGGATACACAGCTCTATGGCACCATTTCCAGAAAAAACAAAAAACAAACAAACAAAACTCAGTTTCTCTAATCTCATGAAATCTTCATTCTTACTAAATGTAAAAAGTAAAACCATCCAGTCATTTCTACAGCTGGGTCACTCTGCAGAAAGACACTGTTTTGCATACAACCTCTTCTCCCAGCAACTTCATAAGTCATCATTGTGCCCTTAGGCAATGCACGGGCTTCCTGTGCATCAGGCAGTGACCCTACACACCAGGGCTGTGGTGATAAATGACAATGGTTCCCGCCTGACTCCAGCAAAGTGAGCTCTGATGTTTGATCAGGATTTTCCAATCCCTTAAAGCCTGCCAAACAGCATTATTAAACATCCTCAAGAAAAAGCCATTCTATTAGTAATGACATCAAATGAAAATAAAAGAAGGGAGGGGGGGAGGGCAGAAAGGAAGGGAGAGCCATTCTAACTTCAGGACAAACTTAAACCAGAGGATGAATTTTTTTTTTAATTTTACTTATTTTTTTAAAATTTTACTTAGTATTAATTCTTATGTGAGTGATGTGAGTATGGATATATGCGTGCCTGAGTAAAGAAGTCAGAGGGACTGGAAAGATGGCGAGTGCACACACAGACGCACACATTAATAAATATAATTTAATTTAAAACATTTTTGATAAGTCATAAGACAACTTTCAGGAGCCTGTTTTCTCCTTCTATTGTGGGATGCAGGGATGGAATGCTGGTGGCAGTCCTGCCTGGTAATTGCTTTCAGGATGAGCTATCTTCAAACTCACTACAGAGCTAAGAATGCCCAGGAACTCCTGCCCCTCCCTCCTGAGACAGGTGTGTACCACCACACCACCCGGGGGTGGACTATTAGTCTCCACTGAAGTGAACACATGATAAAAATGCCATCTTCACACTGATGCCAAGACAAAACGGGGACTCTGTAGGCTGGCTGGGGGCGGGAGAATGACCTGTCCACTGCCTTTCCCATCACGGTGACATCAAGTACTGTTTGTTTTCCATTCATGTGAGGTTTTATACTGCCAGCCAGGCGTGATCACGTCACAAGGCTTCCCCTGCCGCATTCCCCAGCACTGTAAAGGAGAGCCCCCAACTCTCTTCAGAAGGACACCAAGTTCCCACACATCACACCCTGACACTAAACACAGAGGGAGGAAGACAACAGCAGCGTGGCCACCATTCCCACATACTCACTTGGACTGGGTCTGCTTGGTGATGTTCCGAATGGTGGCACCTTCCTTCCCTATAATGGCTCCAACAAACTGCGTGGGGACCAGCAGGCGCAGAGGCAGGTCGCAGGGCTTCTGCTTGGACACTGACCCTGGAGATGCCTGCCTGGACGAGCCCCGCTGTCCTGGACCCCGGCGTCCTCGGAGCTGCAGGGAGGGATTTTGCTGGGCAGCCGTTTCATCGGGGATGTAGGCGACCTTCAAGGTGAAGTTCTCTAACTGGAATCCATTCAGTTTGTCTAAGGCTCTGAAAATTCACAAGAGACAGTGGGTGGTGGGTGGAGCGGGAGCGGTGGCATGGTAACCTTGTCCACAGCGGCCACCCATCTCTTCCTCCCAGAGCTATCGGCGACGAAAGCTGCTGTTCCGGACAAACCCTACCACCACCACCACCACCACCACCACCACCACCACACTCCTCTATGAAGTCTGCACTTAGGGAAGGCCAACGGCTTCCAAGGCAAATAATTTCCATCTACCAGTGAGAGACAGAAACAAAAATCAAGTTAAATTCTTTTTTTAAAACAATTTTATTTTAGGTGAATTGGTGTTTTGCCTACAGTGTAGCTCTGTGTGCGGGTGCCAGATTCCCCTGGAACTGTAGCTGCAGACAGTTGTGAACTGCCATGTGGGTGCTGGGAATTGAACCCATGTCCTCTGAAAGAGCAGTCAGTGCTCTTAACCAATGAGCTATCTCTCCAGCCCCAAGTTAAATTCTTGATTCAGTTCAATCAAGAATCACTGTTGAACTGCTTGACTCATGGTGTGAGACAGTCTAACAAACAGCCGTAGAATATATACTCATTCTATCAGTTCTGTTTCTCTAGAGTTCTAATACAAACATTCACAAAAATGTAATAATAAAGTCTATTGCTTTTGTGTAATTAATACATGCTATTAAAAATATTTGCAACAACCATGGTAAACTTAAGGAAAAAAAAAGTTAGTAATGGCTTGGAAATATACCAAGGGAAGGAGCGCACAGCTCTAAAGGGGTTGAAGAATCGGTGAGCAAACAGCCCTACCAACTACAGGACACTGGTCTTACACTGGTAAGATTTCAGGATGAGCCACAACCAGAAAATAACTGCAATTCCCTCATCTGGGTAGGGTTTTGATCTCAAGAAGATGAACAAAGGGAAGAGAAGGAGGGAGGAGGCAAGGAAGCTGTTCTATCCACACACTGACTGCACTTTGTATCTGCTTGGGGAGGGCCTGAGCCTTCGCCCACCTTTTCAACTTTACTGTAACATTAATACATTTATATGGCATTGCACACATCCAGATTTTTAAAATGAAATTTCTTACTGGTGGGGATGCTTGGGGCACATGTGGAGGTCAGGGGACTTTGGAGTCAGCTCTCTCTCTCTCTCTCCACCTTTATGTAGGTTCCAAGAACCAAACACAGGCTGTCAGGCTGCACTGTAAGAAGGCATGGACCTTTACCTGCTGAGCCATCCGCATCCGCTCCAGAAACCCTGTGAGGGCCCTGCCTCAGTAACCCCTCACCTTCGCAACTGTGGAAATCTATGTAAGGACATGTAAGCGCACACACACACACACACACACACACACACACACACACACACACACACACACAATGTACCTTCTCAGGTCACCTCTCTTATTTCTACATGACATAAGCTCCATCCCGTTATAGTCCGTCTACCTTGCATACTTTTGGCGAGGAAGCTGAGCAATACTTTGGTGCAGCACATAGAGAAGACTTTAAGAGTTCATACACTCTTAACTCACACCTTCCTAACTGCAGAGCACAGCAAAATGGATGGGGTGAGGGCTCTCCCACTTTTCCCGGGCAACTCAAGCTCTTGTCAGATTCTGTGTGAACAAACTCGGAGCTCAGCTCATGCAGGTGAAGATAAAAGCATAAAGCACTCTCTCTCCCATGGCTCCATGGAGTCGTTTCTGGCTTCTAAGTCTATTTCCTGACTTGAACATCTACTTTCCAATTCTTAGATGTAAATAGGAAGATCAAAGGAGTCTTAGTACTACACAGGTCTCTGAGAAGACGGGAGGCACAGGAGAGAAGCCACGAGAGCTCATGGTGTCTTTGGACATAGACTCCGTGCTTTCCCCTCATTTTTATCTTGTCCTATATTCCCTAGCACACAAATGAACCCTTGTCCAAGATCTGCAGTTCCCAAGTCCAGCAGGGACAAGGCACACTTTCACTTTTCCCATAGCTGCTAAGTACAGCATCTCTGAGCATGCATCAGTCCTGCACATTTCACAAACGTGTGGGCGTGGCTAGCAGCTTCTGAAGCTGTAGTTGTGGTGTGCAATGTTCTATGGCTAACTTTTCTCCAGATATATCATGTCCTGGGATACTTCCCCATAATTCTATGTCAGAGGGCGTTCTCCACACAAGCACCAGAGGACTTCCTACCAATGCCTGGCGACAGGACCCTCACACACTGGTCTTTTGTTCTCTTCTCTCCCTTCCTTTTAAGCAAATGTAGACTAAGGGCTATAAAATATATTGCCCATTTCTCAAGGGAGAAAATGGAGAGGTTTTATTAATACATTTTACTATACAAAATTGAAGCTTCAACAATTATAAGGATTTAAGGTAATTTTAAGCCATTTTGAATGTCAGAAATTATTAAAGGTTTTTCCAAAAATCTCACCTAAATGAAGGGATCGCAACTCCTTTGTTATAAAATTGGGCACTGCTGTCTTCAGCAGTTAGAAGACTCTTACCATGGAATGAAGCCAGGAAAGTTACAAAAAAGTGAGACAGACACAGAGCCATCCTTCTTCATGGGGACAGACAGAGGAGAGTATACACTGCCAGATGCTTCTGTGTATTCTGGAACAATCTAAACAAAGTCGCACGTGTCCTAAGAAACAGCTCTCGACTTGGTGGAAACTATGACAGAACACTTTACTGCTCTGCTTTAAATGGTGTGCCTCTGAAGGAAGAGACTCTCCCAGGCAGGAGGAGGAGGAGGCATAAAGCTGTGGTACCATGTTAGTTCTCCCAAGCAGGGAGAAGTCAGCCCTGACATCATGTGCATCCAGCTGTGTGTGTGCCAGACCACAGCACTGTAAACGACGCCAGAACAGAGTACAGGAGTCATCTAGCTGCACAGCAATGGCTAACGCTCCTTAGTTTATGATTTTAAGTCAACGGCTGAAATCTTCCTATGCACATGGTTTGCTACTCAGCTCTGTCATGGGGTGGTGGTGATCTGCCCAGTCCATGAAAGAAAGCTGTAGTTCTTTCAGTTTTCCTCCTGTAAGACCCGAGAGGAGCAGGTTTAATAACCGTTCAACAGAACTCAGGAATCTTAGCCACCATATGTATTGCTTAGATCCTGCTTTTAATCGGTTGCTATTTGAAATCATTCAGAAGATGCTGAAGGGGCCATCAAGATGGCTCAGTGGGTAAAGGTGTTTGTGACTTACTAGCCCAAGACTGAAGACCTGGGTTTGATTCCAGTGGAAGACAGAATCAACCCTGGAATTTTTCCTGAGTTCCCCACAATCACAGGCTCGCCCGTACCCACATACACCTGCACACCTGCACAGAAAGTAAGAAATTTAACTTTAAAATAATAAAAATGTGTTTGAGAATTTTTCTGGTTTATAACAACTAATTGTATTAAGTTTATTGGGGTAACAAAAAAGTCCTCTCTAGAATAGGAAATTCAGCGTAAGGACCAATGGGAGGGAGAAGAATAAAGAAATGATAACCAAGCCGGGTAGTGGTGGCACACACCTTTAATCCCAGCACTGGGGGTGGGGTGGGGGGGAAGGGGCAGAGGCAGACGGATCTCTGTGAGTTCGAGACCAGCCTGGTCCACAAGAGCTAGTTCCAGGACAGCCAAGGCTACACAGAGAAACCCTGTCTCTAACCTCCCCCTCCCCCCCAAAAGAAAGAGAGAGAGAGAGAGAGAGAGAGAGAGAGAGAGAGAGAGAGGGAAATGATAACCAGAAGTTAAACTTATCCCCACACAGCAATCTGAATGGCAAAGTGGATGGCTTGTAGCTAGCATTCTCATCTAGCTTGACTAATAGGTAACCATTCTACCCAGGAAGACGATTTGCTGCCCCACATATACACTAAAGATAAGACTGATGGGCTCTTTCAGTGTCTTGTCTTGTGCCTACAAAGTACATGCTCTTCCACAGAGAGATGCCAGCATCCATTTCTCCCTTAGCGCTGCCATCTGAGGTGTGTACTAACAAGACACAGTTTAACGACCTCTGCAGTTCTCTCCTTGTACCATGACAGTTTCAAGGCTTCCAACAAAACTCATGGTATTTGCAGGGGGAACCTTTGGGGGGGTGAATGCAGATGAATAAGGGGACAAGGTAGATCCCTAATCCAACAGAACTGTGGATTCATCAGAAGAGGTGAGACCTGAGCTGGGATGGCCAGCTTTGCCACGAGGTTCTGCATCGCCTCAGTACTCTACAAGGTCCCTACAAGCAGCAGCAGCAGCAGCAACAACAACAACAAAACAAAACAAACAATAACAACAACAACAAAAAAAAACACCAAAAAATTCCTCGTCACACATAGGCACTCAATCTTGGCTTTCCTAGAGGTTCATATAAGCCTTTTTGCCTGTTGTGGCTTCAGTGGCAGCCACAGGGAAAAGGGAGGCATACCAAGAATTAGAGGTGATAATTGAGCACAAACTACCAAAATCCTAGAAATACCATTGCATGGATGCATCTTAATTACGGACAAAGCACCATCACTTACCTACAAAGGGCTCCAAGACTAAACTGTTTCTAAAACAAAAACAAAAACCAATACCGAGGGCTCAAAAGTCAGTTAGTCAATACAGTGCTTGCCATGGAAGCATGAGGACCTGCATTTGATTCCCAGGCCCCACATAAAAGGCCATGAACGGTAGCACACACTTGCAATCTCAGCCCAGGGGAAACAGACAGGTGGATCCTCGGGGCTCAGTGAGTTCCAGTTCCCAGCAAGAGACTGTGTGTCCAAAAGACAAGACGGGGGCCAGTGAGATGGCTCAGCCAGTAAAGGCACCAGCTGCCAAGGCTGATAATCTAAGACCTGGACCCAGGACTCAGAGGGTGGAGAGTCGGAACCGATTCTCAGAAGTTGTCCAGACCCCCATACATATACCATAGCATGTGCATGCATGTATACATGCAAATAACTAAACATAACTTACAAAGAAAAAAACCACAGAACAGTAGAGTAAAACTAAATTTGAAAGCTATAATATATATAGACTCCATAGGTGG